GTGTGTCAGCTGCATCGACATATGTTATTGTTGGAAGAAAGAGGACCGGGTTAAGGTGAGGGTTTCTTATATTGTATGAAAGGCAGAGTGCATTTAAATCTATGTGGTATTATAGACATATGTTCATGGTCGAAAGAATCAGGAACATCATCGATATTAAATAATATAAGGTTGGAAGAAAGAGGACCGGGTTAAGGTAAGGGTTTTCTTATATTGTATTGTGTGAAAGGCAGAGTGCCATTTAAATCTATGTGGTATAGACATATGTTCGGTTCTTATGACAAAGTAGTATAGTGTTAGGTGTAAGGTGTGTAAGGTGACAGTGTTTTTTTTGTTCAGGCTTATTTAGGGTGTGGGGTGTTTCTTTTCAGGTGGTTAGTGCTTATCGGGTTTAGGGCATCCGGTTTCGGGTTCTAATAAACACTACTGAAACCCTAAGCCCTAAACCCGATGTCCTAAACCCAAAACCCATAATTTTAGGCATTAAACCCCAAACCCTAAACTCTAAGCCATGTGGTTCTGGACCATTGAGGTCAAGGAAGGATAGCAGCACATATTTCAATAATAAGATTCAATAAGATTCAATAAGATTTTTCCGGTGCGATGCCACAATTGTATTGTTGTTTTATAAGATTCAATAAGATTCAATAAGATTCAATAAGATTTTTCCGGCCGAATTTGGCAGAACACACACAACTCACAAACATGGTTTCATTGAAACTTACACACAAACTCTTTTCTGTTTTTGATCACGGAGGCACCCCTTTGCTCGGTTCCGTGCTCCTTTGTTGGGTCCCACCCAACAGCATGGCCATATAATACTAGATTATGTCCTGCTTTCGGCGAGGACTTATCCCGACATGTCTGTCTGCAGTATCGATGCCTGACTGACAGACCGACCGGGAATGCACAAAAACATTTCTGAGAGCATGATACCACACCAACCAACCCACATACACAAAGCAACAGACAGATTCACCAAACATTGTAATGTTACATCTCCTGGCACTCTACCTTCAGAAATGCATGGTATGGCATTACCATACTTCCAAACTTGAACACACAATACCCCAATGACAGTCAGTTGTCGAGCCAATCAGTTCACGACCGGCGAGGAAACCTCTTCAGAACGAGTGGTGTCCTCAACGATTTGAGCTGCCACCTCATTGTTGATCATGTCCTGATCATCTGCAGGAG